GCTCCGGTGGCCTAGTGGTTAGAGCGTCTGACTAGAATGTGGGAAGTCGTGGGTTCAAACCCCAGCCGAGTCAAATCAAAGACTTTAAAAATGGTACTAACAGCTGCCTTGCTTTGCTCTCAGCATTAAGAGGATAGTGTTAGGACTGGTAGGCCTGGTGTCGAGATAGTAGACACAGTTCCTATTAAAGAGAGTGACTCCAGTTATATCGGGTGTGGTGTCAGGATAATGTAACTGGGGCATGATGCCCCAGTGCTAGACATTACAGTAGTAGTAAAAAGACAGATTCTAGCCCAAAGACCCTTTTTTACATCCCCTCAGACCTCCTAACAAATACAAATTATATTTGGGCTAGGATCTGCCTTTCAATTTTATGTAAATCATTTGGAGTGGGAGTTTTAGGGCAGAGAGAGGGGGTAATTTGTGTTTGTTAGGAGGTCTGAGGGAATGTAAAAAGAAAAGGTCTTTGGGCTAGGATCAGCCTTTTTACTACTACTACTACTACTACTACTACTACTACTACTACTACTACTATTACTACTATTATTATAAAACTGTCACACTGCAGACATCGTAGCGATGACTGAAAACTTGTTAAAGCTACGTTAAAAATCTGAATCACATACACACACACACACTCACACACACACACACACACGCAGCTATCAGATGAAGTAGATACAATGCAAAACAAAATATTTAAATCAAACGTGAATACTGATCTTCCTCATTTGTTTCATCCTCAGATGTGACAGTTTAATAAATGTCACCGGTTAAACAAACTTTATCAATCATCTAATGTTTTTTAGTTATTGCACATTGTTTTATTTATATTATGCAAACAAGATGTGATGAATGCAACATAACATAATTCCAAACATTCGAAAAAATGAACCACAAACGACGACATTTCCACAAATTTAAATTCACATCTTTCATAATTGAATTAGCACGCATATTATAATATTGGACAGGTTGCAAATCATTTATAAATGACCAGTAATTTGTTAAATGCAATCTTTGTAATTATTTGTAATAAAATAGAATATTCTGACAGCAACGTCACAAAACAAGATTTATTACTCGAATACTTTTTTAGAATAGTAATGTAAATGTTGATAAATTAAGCAGTTTAAATGATATAGGATCTACAATATACTGCTTCCAAATCATTATTTTTACTTCTCTAAAGTTGATATTATTAGCATTATGAAAGATGTGAAATTATTTGAATTATTATATATAGAATGACTAATAAAGTTAAATTGAACATGAAGGTAAAATGGAAAACTGTTGTCGTCAATGTTTAGTTTAATATCTTTTTATCAAATGATTTATCGCAAGAAAGCTATGAGCATTTGTTCTGCTATCTTCAAGCAAAACTATTTTGGATATTATTATCACTATGTGAAGTAAGCAAATTCTGGTTAGGAACGACAATTTGAAAAATAGTACAAGACTAACAATATTTGATATTTAAGATAATCAATCCTAAACTGCAAGGCAACAATCATATTTTATATGCATGAAAGTCATATTCTTGGAAAGTGTGCAGGTGAAAAAGGTCAATTTTTTCAAAACAGAAACGATGAAATTATCAGCCACTATATCTTGTTTGAAATCCTCAGACTGATATCGTGGTCACGTATCATACACGGTTTTGAGTCCTTATTATCCGAACGTCTTGAAAAAATGTATTGCGTAAATTTATAGAAAACATGTCATACTGAAAAACACAAATCAAGCAACAGGCTTGGAAATTGGGGACATGTTAGTTTTTAGAAACCCGCGTATAGGCATAAATAATATCAAATGAATGCCTGAGGACTCTACGAGACATTCAATATATTAGTCCTCGGTCTTATTTTCTCTTTAGTCCAGGAAAGGCTTTCTTGGGGTCATTATTAACTAACATGCATTACCATATGGGTTTCTTTTCTAATGGCTTCTGTAGAGATAATAATTAATCCACGATTTCCATCAGTTTACATGCTAATTAATCATCCGATTCTGTAATACCTGAACTTCATTGTGTTCAATATTCATGAGTCATTAGTCTCTGCTCAATCCCTGAGGATAATGATAACGACTCCCGGCTTTGTACACAGAAAACATTTTATTTGTTGGCATGACTACATATTTGCTGACCAAATTTTACAGAAACCACAGGCAAACAGACGGTCAAATGCAATACTAACTGAATTGGACAATAATGAGCACAGCACTGATTCGAAGTCTATTACATTTTGTCAATCATATTTCTAATTACTTGTTTAAAAATACATTATGGCTAAGAGATAAAATATTTTCTCGAACCTCTTTTGAACATTTCCCTGTTTTCGTTTTACAGTCAGTTTAATAAACATCAAACAAGTATATATTCATGTTGAGTGTCATTTATTCAGTTTTCCAATTTTCATAGTTTTGGTAAATTAATGCTCCTTTAGATAGAAAGTATACTCCCCACATACTGTTCTCCCGGATACTTCCGTATACAAATACTATACTCGTGGTTTAGTATGGGTGAATTGCTGTCCTTGGACAAGAAAGGACAACTCATTTTATTCTAATCTCCAGATCAGTTTGAGTGAATTGATATCCATCCATAAAAAGGAAAAATTACCTCATGTTATACTTTCTTACTTGATGAAGTCCATTATGACCTTTGACAAAAAATTCAACATTAACTCAAAAGTAAACTTAATTCCGATATCCAATCATTCAATGCATACAATAATTTGCAAAAACACAGATCACTATGATGTTATGACACTATACATTTGCTGCCAGAGTTATGAGACTTTCAATCTGCAAACTCATAGTGCTTGTGTTCAATCTTACTAAGTTCTAAGTAAATTTCAAACAACAGGCTAACTGGCTATTATTGTCCAATTTTATTTAAATGTCGAACGATATACTATTTTTTAACAAAGAGCTTTTGACATTATTTAGGTTAATGGCTTAGCAAACTTAAAACGGGCTTGATCATTAAATTCAAATGGTTGTGATGGGAAAACAATTACGATAACCAAAATGCTGAAAGTGCAGATAGAATTTAGATTGCAATAATTAGTAATGGCTATTCAAATTTTGGTTATACCACTGTACGCGTCCCATGTGCGTCGTAAATGACAGTCTGCAGAAACCTTGAGATTGATCTGACGCTACTCAGTTTAATCCATTTAAAACACAATAAGTCTTGCTTACAAGCGAAGGAACCGAACTGTTTACGTGATGTTGAAATTTAAAGAGAGACAAAAGCACAAAAAGACATTTTACATTTCATCGTATTCGGTGGGTGCATCAACATTAATAAGCTCTTTCACAAACTTTCATCTTCGTTAGATTGCTCCATCTGTCTCAGATCGCACTGGGTACCTAATGAAGTTTAAATTCATCTTTCCGAAGATGATCAAAGCAATATTTATCTCATATTCACTGATCTTAAAATATAGACAAGCGGTGTGGTTCGCCTGTACTGCTGAATCACAAAACTTGTAAAAGTACAACTTGACATAGCTAGATTAGCTTGGTCAGCCCAATGATGCAAATAGAGACTTTATTTAAAATGTTGGACTGCTCTTGTGGAGAGACGAAATATAAACATCTTAGACCATTGTACAGAATTTTCGTGAAACAGTTTCTGGATTACAGTATAGGTGTTATTTTGTCTTATGAAGGACAGCATCCAATTTACTATAGAATGCTGGTCTCCCATTATTTAAAATTCTGGTATGTCATTATTTAAAATTATTAACACAGCTGCGAATCACCGTTACCAAACAAATTGCTCCACTATGAAACATTCTAGAAATGTTATAACACAACGTCCCTTTAACCGACCATTACACCTAGCCTGTGATTACCGTAAGACTCTGTGCTGATAGTGATACTGTGACATAAATGTAGTGCTTTTTATTTCAGCTAAATGGAATACCTGATTCCTTCTTCACATGTGGGTATTCTATGGAACGGTACAATCATTTGCTTTCTGACAGTGGACCTTACGTTAATGAAAGACGTATAGTTTTTGCCTAGATCCTACATTCAAATGTTTATATTTAACTAGATCAACCATAATTAAATTAGTCAAATACCATCGAAATAGACATCTACACTCAAACAGAAATGCAGAAGAGCGTTGTCAAAACAATATTTACCAAACCGTAACACAGATTAGTCGTTAACATAGTCACTTATGTTCCTGTTTTATGATCATAACATGTATAAATAATCAGTAAATATGCAAATATGCACCATTCCAGCTGACCACTGCAAGTTCTCTCAAACTCTTTAGGACAGCAAAACGGGATTGCATACTATGATACAATAGGGACCAAAGAAGGACAAGGAATCATCCAAGTTTAAAGTTGATAAAAAAGAAAATAGGACTAAAGTGGGAGAGAATAGTATAAATTATACATGTAGAGTTATAAATGTGTGTTAGTAACATGTCAAAAATATGACAACTACAATATTATGTAAAGTTCTCTGTAAATACAAACAAGCAACATTTGTGCCTTTCTTGTCTACAATCAAAATGCTTCAAAGGCAAGGAAAAAATCAAAGGCCATTTAGAGGCGAAAAGTTCCTTTAATATATTTCATTCTATATCAGATCATTCTAGCTTTCAAAGTTGACGACACTTTATTAACATTCTCATACTACGTTGTTTTGAGAAATTGAATGATAATAAATAAATAAATAAATAAATAAATAAATAAATAAATAAATAAATAAATAAATAAATAAATAAATAAATAAAATACCAGGTTTCAGTTTATCGCACAATACAAGGAGCAATTGTCAAATACAGAAGTATAGTTCCTATTTATTATTATAACTACTGTAAGATATTATTTATTGGCATATTTTGACATTATGATGGCAGCAGCTGAATTTTTCTTCTTAAAAATTACACTTTAGTTAAAACTTTTATTATAAAAAACATCTCATTAGTGGATTCAAACTGATACCTGTGTTTATCGTAGTTCTTTGTTGATTTTCTATTAGTTGTTTTCTATAAAATATTTTGTTTGTTTAAGTTCAAAATTGCTTGCAGATTATAGGTTT